CTGCCAAATCCAAGTGCCCAAAATTATTGGAAAATGACATAATAAATGTTAGCTTCTTGTGCTGGTTGGTTTTTGTTAACTTAACAACAACTAGAGTTGCCCAGGAAGGGAGAACTTGATGAAGTGCCTCCATCAGTTTGGGCTGTGGGCATGTCAGTGGGGCATTTTCTTTATTAATGATTGGTGCAGGAGGGCTAAAGCCACCACTGGTGGTTCCACCCTTAGGCACCTGGGTTGTATGAGAAAGCAAGCTGAGCATTCTGTAGAGAGCAAACCAGTAAGCAGCGCTCCTCGGCTCCTGTCTTCATGTTCCTACCTTGACTTCCTCAATAATGCCCTGTGATTAAGAAATATAAGGCAAATAAAACTTTCTCCCTAAATTGTTTTTGGTCATTTATTATATCAATCAAAGCAAATTGGAACACTCTTATAACATGAAATAATAAAAGCCCCAGAGATTTCAAACTAAATATGAGAAAAGCAAAGCAACTGGCCACTAGCTTCTTACCCTACCTCAGGCTGAATGGGCTGATCCTGTCTCCAGGAGCTCTCACCAAGTCTCAGATTGTAACTTTTCCTCAGTGTGGATGGAGAGCAAATGCCTCTTCTGAGACCTTGCTTCTGTCTTATATACTTCCCTAATGTTGGGTTTAAAGATGTAAGCTATAATTCTCTTTTAGACATATTCACACTTGAGTAGATCTGGGTGGCATTGAATTTAGAGAGATCCCTCTATCTCTCAATCCTGAGTCCTAGGATTAAAGGTGTGCACCACCACCTCTTAGCTTCTGACTGTTGGTAATCCCAGGTGTGTGCCTGGCTTCTAGTCTTGTGGCTGACTTTGCTTTTCTGAATCGTCGGTCTAGCTTTAATAAAACATAAAAAATAGAAATATCCTTAAAGTTGCTCTCAAGCATTGTCCCCCTTTCATGGTAAAATAACAGTATCATTTCCATAATGAAAAAAATCAGTGTCAAAACCTATATCTGATTAGTCATAGAAAAATTTTTTTGTTTCTCAAGTTTTTTTTTAATTTTATTTTCCAGTTTAAATTTAGATAAGAAACAAGGTTGCTTCACAAGTCAGTTCCAGGTCCCTCTCCCTTTCCCTCCCCTCCTCCCGTACCCTCCCCCCAACTCCCTCCCCGTTATCCCCTCATTCCCCCAGGGAGGGTGAGGCCCTCCATGGGGGTGTCCATAGTCTGTCATTTCATATAGGGCAGGGCCTAGACCCTTCCCCAAGAGTTCAGGGTGAGAGTGCACCTCACATTGTTCTATGGGAGTCCAAAGTCCGTGTGTATACTTGGGATGGGTACTGATCTGCTGCCCAAGGCTCAATAGATTCCCTAGGCCTCCTCACTGACACCCAGATTCAGGGGGTCTTGATCAGTCCCATGCTGGATTCCCAGGCTGATGCCTGGGATTCAAGAGTTAACCTTTGTCTGGTCAGCTGTTTCTGGGAGTTAAACCAGCCCAGTCTTAATCTCTTTGATCATCAGTCCTCCCTCTCTGTTACTGGCTTTCTTGAGTTCAGCTCAGTACTTAACCAAGGGAGTCTGCCTCTTCTTCGATCAGCCACTAAGTGAAGTTTCTGTTTCCCAGACTCTCTAGCCATAGGATTGTAGGCTGGCACTCCCCAGATCTATGTCTAAAATCCATATATGAGAGAGTACATGCCATGTTTCTCTTTTGTGACTGGGTTACCTCACTCAGGATGGTTTCTTCTAGTGTCATCCATTTGCCTGCGAATCTCATGATTCCATTATTTTTTTTCTGCTGAATAGTACTCCATTGTGTAGATGTACCACATTTTCTCTATCCACTCTTCAGGTGAGGGACATCTAGGTTGCTTCCAAGTTCTGGCTATTACAAATAAAGCTGCTATGAACATAGTGGAACAGCCATCTTTGTTGTATGAATGGGCATCTTTTGGATATATGCCTAAGAGTGGAGTTGCTGGGTCTTGTGGTAGGTTTATTCCCATTTTTCTGAGGAATCTCCATACTGATTTCCAAAGTGGCTGAACCAGTTGGCACTCCCACCAACAATGGAGGAGTGTCCCCCTTTCACCACAACTTCTCCAGCATAAATTGTCATTGGTGTTTTTGATTTTAGCCATTCTGACAGGAGTGAGATGGTATCTCACCATCTCAATCTCATTTCTAATGCAATATTTCCTGTGCATAGTAAACCTTTCACAGCTCCATTCTTTATCTGTGGATTAAAGAATGAGCTGAAAATATCCAGGGAAAGTTCCCTGTTATCTAAAGAAGATTTAAACTAAAGGAGAGCATGTACTTAAATTACATGAAAATACTATTACCATTTTATTAGCGGATTTTGACATCCACCGGGGTTCTTGGAAGCAATGCTGTATGGTTATTGAGGTATGGCAGTTCTAAACTAGCAAGCTATGGAGAGCAAGCCAGTCAGCAGCACTCTTCCATGGCAGATGCATCACTTCCTGCCTTCACGTTCCTATCTGGCTTGGGTTCCTGCTCTCTAACTTCCATCAGTGAAGGATGATTGCTTGGGAGTATAAGATGAAAATAAATTCTTTCCTTCCCAAGTTGATTTTGGCCATAGTATTTTTTCAGAGCAATAGAAACCCTAAGACAAGGCATATATAAGTTTGTCTAATACTTTTGATATCTTTATTCTAGTCTGAAAATAAAATTGCAAATTATATCCTGCCAATTACCTATGTTAGAAATAACTTGGGTTAGGAATAACTTGTCTAACTCTGAGAGGATTCTTTACTTTAAAATCTTGTTAGTTTTGCCAAAGCAGATTGGTTAGAAGGAAAACAAATAGTGAGTAAGGAAGTATCTTTTAGAGGGCAGACCTTCTCATGTTGAGAGGAGGTATGTTATGTTACCTGGTGGCAAACATCGGAAGACATCTAAGTCCCTTAGCAAGCAAAGACGGTAAGCAGAGGGCAAGACAACTTTTCCCAGTGCACGTTCCTTATTCCCTCAGAGGTCATTGTTTGCATCATATGCTCTATCTCCGGAGCAAAGATGTCCCAGCTGTTTTTCTGTGTTCAAAAACAAGTGCTGATTACTCTACTATGCTGGCTGTGCAGATGCCTTAACAATCACAGATTTCCTGAGGCCTCTCAAGTTGTGTTGATCAGAGTTTTGGCTGATTGGGAATTTCGAATATTCATTAAGTCATCCAGGGAGAATTACTGTTCTGTCTCGGATAGTTGGACTAGTTCATTAATGCCATCTTAAAACCAACCAGTAAGCCAAACTGTAATATTAACAGGCAAACTGTATTCAGGAAGCTATGTAAAACAAATGAGAGGAGGGGATGAGTTCTTTTGACTATAGGGATAAACTTTGAAAATGGAAATGATTCGTGATTGTTTGTGTATTCTCCCTTCTGCATTATAATGTATCTAAATATTGTAGTGTAACATACAACACAGACCCACATTGGGTAGACAACTCTTACTCCCTGTCTTTCTGAATATGTATGGTGGGAAAGGTGCAAAAGACTTTACACATGTTTTGCACAATCTCTCAAATATATTACTCTTGATTCTGAGTAACAACTTTGGATATGAACTTTGATTTATATTCAAGTATCTTCTATATGCTTTTTGTATTAAAGAATGAATATGAATGTTGGAAGCAAAGATAAGAAGAAGCCAGGTCAAAGGCTAGAACTGATGTGTGTATCTGGTTTGATGATAAGAGCCACAACAGTTGAGATGCATTGAGTATCTTTCCCTTCCATCAAAATCATGAACTACAAACAGTCACAGACCATTTGGAAATTCTGAAGTGGCATATCATTTTTTTTCAAGACAGGGTTTCTCTGTATTGCTTTGGAGGCTGTCCTGGAACTCGTTCTGTTGACCAGGCTGGCCTCAAACTCACAGAGATCTAGCTGCTTTTGCCTCCCAAGTGCTGGGATTAAAGGTGTTCACCAACAATGCCCGGCTCGACGTCTCAATTTTTTTATTGCTTTTTATTTAGATATATTTCTTTTTAACTATGAGTACCTAAATGCAATGACTACATCTTATTCATTTTTAAAACTCCAATAACTTTTTAAATTTAATTATTTTTTGTGTAGAGGTTTTTCCTACATATATATGTGTGTGTGTGTGTGTGTGTGTGTGTGTGTGTGTGTGTGTGTGTGTGTGTGTATTACATGAGTTCCCAGTGTCTATAAGGCCACAAGATGGCACTGGATCCCCTGAAACTGGAATTCGAGATAGCTATGAGCTGACATGTGGGTGCTGGGAATCAAACCCATGTCCTCTGGAAGTGTAACAAGTAATCTTGAAATTAATTAAACATAATGAATAGGTATATCCTTAGTACCTATGATTATGTAATAAAATGCTAATTGAGGGATTAAAATGAATTCATTTGTTTCTTAAAGTCTGAGGCCAAGTTGAAATCAAATTATTAAAAATAAATAAAATTTCAAATTATAGTCTTTTTCACTTCAAAGAATTACTATAAACCACATACTGAAGTATAACATAAATGGATTCCATAGCTAATATTATCTAATTAAATATTATGGACAGTCTCTGAGAGGATCATTATTAGGCATGTCAATATAAAATTTAGGACTCAAGAATTTAGCAACAGTAAATGACTTAATGAGATGGACATTGTAATTTTGCCTTTAGAATAAAATGTAATTTTCAAAACTGTAGTTCTTTTATCCACCTATATAAATATATTTGATTATCCATTTATATATACTTATTCCTTGTACAAAATTTTAATGTCAATTTTAGGCATAAAATATATAAAATTAATAAATTTAAGCTTCTACAAGAAAAGTAAAGTTCATGTAAACATGGCCAAAGGGAAAATATCTCCATGCCTTTTCATCACCAAGTTATTTAAGAAAAAGGAACATCTATGGATGGTGGGATTATTAACAGTGTTGTGTCACAATGGTACTTCTGACATTTGGTGTTTGTTTTTAATCTGGTGTTAATGTAGATTCTGCACATATTATTGCATTTAGGGGTTCAACTGCCAAACTGAACAATTTCTCCCGCTTGGAACCAACACTTCACCTACTGGGTGTGCAGTTCGATCAGAATGTGGCCCAGAACATCATCACAGAGAAGCCGGGGGCAGCGACCAAGCTTCTGTATCAATTGTACATTGCTCTGCAGAAAAAGAAGAAAACTGGGCTGACTGGATTAGAAATACAAACCATGCAACCCCAGACAAATTTAAGGCTTCAAGCACTCAAAAGTGAGGCTTTTCGAGAGGTGGGTACACAAAGAGACCTAATAGGCATCCCCCATGGGAAAAGGTAATGTAGCAAATTGGCTGTGAGACTGTAGTCTTGGGGACCACTGAAGCTACTTGTATCATTGGCCATATTGGGTGTTATTTTATGCTAATATTTGTCATTTGTTTAGCTATGCTTTCTGTCCCCTGTTTCTTATCCACACTACACATAGTTATTATCCAAGTCTGTTCTTATTTCCCAGTACTTTTTCTCTTTTATGTTTGAGATTGTAATTTAATTCCATCATTTCTCCTTCCCCTTTCCTCTCTCCAACTGTCCAATATTCCTCTTCTTGCTCTCTTGTAAATGCATGCCTTCCTTTTTCATTAACTTTTATTACATGCATACACATTATTACATGCATACATATACATATATGCATAAGTATAACCTGCTAAGTCTGCACACATACCAACCAGGACTTTCTATGACTGTTTCTTTCCCTCCATGTTTCCTGCTATTCTGCTGGCTCAGATTTCTTTAGGAGCCACTGCAGCAACCTGCTAGCATGTCTCCTGAGCATCAGAATTTCTGCTAGATAATGAGATTCTTTGGCACAGACTTTTTCATATATGTATGTGTGTATATATATACATATATATATATAATATCCAACTTCTCAGTCATTCACTAAACAACCTCAAAGTTATTTCTCTATATTACTCAGCACAAGTTCATTGAAAGGGTGTCCTTGAACATGTCTAGACTACCCCTGCCCTTTCTTCCACCCAAACACCCCAATCTCGTTTCTCCTCCTTCCCAATATTTCTTTTCCCGTCTCTGATGTTGATCCAGATCACATGGATTCTTCCTTTGTGACTACTAGGGCGCATGTGTTAACCTCTTGGTGCCTACCCTACTAGTTAACTATTCCTGATCGGTTTTTCATGTGGCCTTACGGTTTGCGTACTTCAAATTCAAGGAAAATGCCTAGCAAAATAATCATTTTAGATATTCAGAAAATGCATTTTGATGAAATTTTAGCACGTTTTAGTTTGCAATTCTCTCCAGTTCTCCAGTTCCTTTGATTTTCTTTGAGGTGAGTGAAGCACATGCTAAATTTTTCCAGGCTTCTGGATTAGTAGTCAGTGCTGCACTCATACAAAGGCCTCGATAGAAATGTAAATAGGTCAATTTTAAATTTTAATTTACAGAGTAACAATGGAATAATAACAATGGTGAGAGTTACCTCCATTTCCAAATTGTTCTACCTTAATTGGATACCACTATTAATCTGGTAGCAAAGTAAACTGAGACCCCATGGGCAGGCTGCGTGCTAGATTAGGCTAAGTAATCCTGCTAAGTAACTCAGTACTGGGTTCCTCTTCATGTACAAGCTTGGTAAACTCAATTCAGTCACTGAGAAACTTTTAACTCAGTTTTTCCAGCTGTATAAACAAGGGTGATTATTTCTGCCTGCCATGACACTGGACTTTTGTGTAGCTTAAAGAAGACATTATGCAAGGAACTTTCCAGAGTGGATCATCCATTATGTAAATATTTATTGAGTTCCCATTTCATGCCAAGCACTTGTAAGTGAATGACACGGGGAAAGTCCCAACCCACTTCATGTTTGCATATCAGCTAGTAAGGGAAGAATGTTTCTGAAGAGTGGTATACGTCATAGTGATTTAAAGATGAGGGAGAAGGGAGGACAGAGAATCTTCTCAAGAAATATGGAGGGAAAGGAAATAAGAAAAGCAATAGCTTGGGAAATAGAAGTTCAAAGGAAGTGTGAACTTCATAGATACTGAGGTAATTGTTAGTTTACGGAAAAATTCTGGGGAAGAACTGGACATTGTGTGAGGATCAAAAGTAAAGAGGTCTTTTGATCAAGGAAAGAAAATGAAATCAAGATCAGTCAAAAATGTCAATATATATGGTGCTATTTTATAAGAAGGGATATGAATATTATCTTGTTGTCCATACACAATTAAAGACTTTAGTGATTGACATGAATAACATAGTTTTAGCTTAACTATCAACCATAGTGATGTGTATAAAATTGATCTTTAATACAAAACCTTACATGTAATTGCAATGCCAGTATACCTTTTATTCTCCAGTAACAGAGACCTTTGAAATGCTTTCTTCATTTAGAGACTTAAAAACCTGATACCACGCCAAACTGATTTCAATCTGATGCGGGTTACATGCAGGTTTCAAGAAAAATGTAAACAAATGAAAGAAGATCTTGCCCGAATTCATTTTGAGAAGTTTGAAAAATTCCAAAAACTCGAGGAAGAGCAAAGACACTTTAATATCGAAAAGGTTCTATAGAACGTTTTATTCTCGAAATTCATTAGTACCTAGTATACTATTGTGATTTATTTCTGCCTGTAGTAAGAGCACATTGCATAAGCAGCTGTGTAGATATATTGCATGTCATGATATATGGCTTTGCCTTGCCTTGCTATAATCATCCTCTTCACATATTTCCTTCTCTCCATCTTCATTCTCTCTCACTTTCACCTGCACTGCAGGCTGAGAACTATCAGCTGCCTAGCGGGACAACTTTTCTTTCACTGGATGAAATCTGTGCCTCAGCTCCTTTGGGAAGTGATTTGCTACTAGCTACATTACCATTGTATCCCTGTGAAACAGACCCATGCCCTTCTCTGTCCTTTTTTTTTTCTGCAATCCCCAAGACTCCATATCCTGCTCTGTTTCTTTTTGATAGGCTACTTCTCTGCTTACTTCCCTTTCCAACTATCTTGACTATCTTAGCTTCACTCTACTTGACAACTACTTTGTGTAACTCATCGCTGCTTCTCAAATCTCTTTGAAAAGTCTTTAATGATCTGTGTCTTTAAAGACACAGGAGAGCAAAACTCATTAAAGACTTTTAAAAGATTTAAGGGCTGGATATATGGAATGTGTAAACTACAGGCAGTGGGATTATGGTTCTTCCTATTCCATTTGAAACTTGCTTCTTAAATTGATTAAGATGATAAGAAATTAATGTACCCTGAGTCATCTTTTTGTGAGGAAAGAGGGAAACACTCTAGAGGCAAACTGTAGAAAGCCTTCTGTCACTCTTTGATGCCCTCACGTGGTAGAAATTGGACACTCTAAGTCCAGTGTTCTAAGCTGAGGTCAAGTGTTGGGACTCCATTGGCATTGAACCAGCCAGTCCAGGCTTGAAAAGCCAAGCTGAATGCAAGAAATCTCCAAAGAAACGAAAGACAAAGGTTGTGGGTTACTGTGGGAGAGAAAATATAAAACTTGGCCATAGGAGGTAAATAAGACAAAGCCTGTACTTTCCTGGTTTTCTTAAGAAAAAGAAATAAACATATGGCAATTAAATTTAAAAAATCACATTTTTTAGAAAGTGGAATAAAAACTTTAAAATTGTAATTTCTGAATTTTAGTGGTTGATTAAATTTTCTTGTCTATGGATGTAGAAATTAGTGAATTTAGTTCTAGTAGTAATTAGTAGTGAAGACTACACTTTTGTTATGGTTTTTGTAAGATATTTAGTTTTATTTTATCATATTTTAAATATTTTTCTCTCAGTTACATCATTCTGTTTATATTTTCCTTAAAATAATTGTTGTCTGTCTTCTTAAGAGATAATCCAATGATGCTTTTATTTTAGTGTCAGGCCAGAAGTTGAGGTTGCACTGAACTCACGTGTAGGTGGACCATTTGGGGAAGCTGTCTTTTCTATGGACAACTGTTTCATCTGTAGAGAATGTATTCTCATGATTGGGCTGGTCATGAAGGTGGTATTGGGAAAGAATCATAATCTTCTTTATATTTAGAGCCCCTGACTATGTTGTATCGACACACAATAACAACACAGACATCATTTAGTCATAATGCTAACATTTCAACATTGTGTTTTAGCATCATGATTTCAATGTAAATAATGTTGATAATGACTTCCTAACACTATAGAATTGTGACACCTTGTGCATTGGTCAATTGCTAAGTTCTGAAATTTTCAATAGATGCTTTATATATATGTACATGTTACATGACTATTATCTTGACAAGCAGAATAAATAAATTAATATATATGCCATACTCAGCAACGTTTAAACAGAAGACGACAAAATGAGATAATGGCCAAAATCCAAGCAGCCATTATACAGATCCCTAAGCCTGAACCAAATCGAACTCTGAAAGCACTGGAGGCTCAAAAAATGATGAAAAAGAAAAAAGAGGCAGAGGTATGTTGTGGCCATTTGCTGTTGTCTTGAATTTCTCTTAAACAAACAATGGTTTTTCTGTGTAATGTATACAAACCTTCTAGAGTTTCTTACTTTCTTTACCAAGTATCCTTGGTCCTTCCTATTCTTATCCAAAATTGCCCCAGCTTGTGCATATCCAATTCATTTTGCTATTGTTTGTTCAGTAGTGGGATGTTACTTTAGGCCAGAGAGCTCAAACTTCCAACACCGAAATGACTGCTTGGACTCTCCTGTTTATATGAAGTCTAATATGATGCAGTTGCGAATACACCATTCCTCTTTACCATGCAATTGTGGTTTGCTACGAATCCCAGAAATGTTAATTGACGTTTTGCTGTTAACACATTTTAGGCTAAAATGCCTGCACTGGAGATATTTTACTAGACCACACTGAGTGTCAACATTCCAATAGGATAAAAATCTAGTTATGTCATGGAAAAGCAATACTATATATCATGATAATTTCTGATTGTTTATATTTTTGTTGACCTAAGAAAGGTTGCAGTAGCTATCATTAATTCAACATAGGGTTTATATTTTTTGTTGACCTAAGAAAGGTTGCAGTAGCTATCATTAATTCAACATAGGTCAAGATATGGATTGGCAATTCACATTTTATTGACATGCACATGTTTCCGTCAGTATAGTACTAACTTCTTCCCTTTATAAATGAGGAAACTGAAACCTAAATGCTGACATATTTTATGTAGTGCATGGGTGCAGATGAAAAAGACATTGGCCTATGGCTCTCATCCCTAAACCCATTGTATCTTATATTAATTTATGTGTTATTTTAAAAATTCTAATGAAACACCTTATACTTGGATTTTAGGAATATTATCCACATGTTTTTCTGGATCCATTTTTATAGTTAAAAAGTAAATTTACCTGAGTTGATGAAAGTCTATTAATAAAGATTATAGTACATAAACATGAGCTGAAAATATTTAGGAAAGTTTATAGAGTAAGTGAGGTGACATGAGAAATGTTTAAAACAGCTAACACACACACTTCAGGAAATATTTCTATTTAAAAAGCATGGGCTCTGATACACTTCAACTTCTTTGACTACATTTGGTGCACTATTAAAATGAGACTCTTCTGGGGAGATGGCTCAGTAGCTAACCTACCAAGCAGACATGTGGTAGCGTGTGTCTGTAATCCCAGTTCTCCTGTTGTGAAATGGGACCAAAGACAGGAGAATTTCCAGAATTTCCAGCAGTGAATAAGGGTTCCTGTCTAAAACAAGATTGAAGGCTAGAATTAAAACTGGAGGTTGTCCTGTCACCTCCACAGGGGAAGTAGACTGTACGTACACACACACACACACACACACACACACACACACACACACACACACACAGGTATATGTGCATACATTTCCATATATAATTTTAAAAAGAGAGAGATAGAAACATGAATTAAGTGCTACAGGTTAGACAGTTTCTATATTGATTTAGGTTAGCCTCATCTAAAATAATGAATCAAAATTATAAAAGTATTCCCGAAGGTTGCTCTTAACTAGTTTGAATTAGCACTATGGTTACCATTTAAAACTGATTGAACATGAAGTTTCTCAATGGCTTTTAAAGGCAGGAAACTGATGGTGACTTTTCTTTAAAGGATGTAGCTAATGAGATCAAGAAATTTGAAGCACTAATAAAAAAGGATCTCCAAGCCAAAGAAAGGTAGGATACAATGTTTCATATCATACAGATGTACTATGGCTAACCCTTGAATATTTACAAATAGTTCATGTAGCAAAATTACTGAAGGATCTTCCACTTTGACGGTTTATTAAAGTGTACAGGAAAGATAAGAAGATAATGTGACTTAAAATTCATATTTTTCACTCACTAGCAATTTTGACCTAGACTGGGAAAGTGGGGATCAGGAGATGTAAAGTCAGTGTACTTTTCTATGCTGTGTTTATTTTTCTGAGTTCACATATATTTTAAAACATTTACTAAAATTGATACACTATTGTAAATGTGCCACAGGAAAGCCACAATCGGACTCTAGTTTGATTTCTTTCATGCCACACTCTCTGTATAGCAGGAAAGTGTTGTTGAATGACGTTTTCACCAAATGCTATGCAGTTTTATGAGTTTTCTTCTGTAAATCGTGCTCCCTAATAGCTTCATTTATCTAAATACAAACATCTTATTGTAGATCCTTCAAAACAATCCATCAGAGGCTGTAATGTAATTAATTCCTGTAGGAGCTGTGTAGGGTTTTCTGTCTTTAAAAATAGAAACTATACAAGCTCTATACATTTACATTTTGCAGAATATGAAGGAATTCCATATTAAAGGACTATCCACGAGTAAACAACAAACTTTAGTTCTGTCTTAATGTTTCTGAATGAGGGAATTATGGAGTCCAGTGAAGAATGGAAAGTCAGGAAAGAAATAATGAGAAGGTCAAATATGAAAAGTAAATAAAAATTGAAAATAAACCTATTTTCCTTTCTATTACCTTCTGCACAAATTCCTGATGCCCTACTTTGATCTCCATGCCCATTCTTAGCATGGTTTCCAACCCCTAAAACCAGAATTTAAGGTGCATAGATGATAAGGAAGATCTACATTCCACTGTTGTCTCTGCCTGATTTATTGTCTCTTTTGCCATGTGGGAGATGTGGATTTCATTCAGATCCGTTCATCAATTCTTACTACTATTTCCAGAGCTATTGAGTCCTTTACAATAAGTTCCTACCTGTACCTATACCCACTGTCATTTCAAACAAGTTGTACATTGTGGTCTTTGAGCCATTTTTAACTGACTTTCTTGTCAATTAAAAGGAATAAGTATTACTCTTTACATGTGGAAATTCAGGTTATCCAGCAGTATTTGTGGAGGAGGCCATCTTTCCTCCACTGCAAGTCTGGTACCTGTGTCAAAACCCACGTGGCTGTAGCTTCATGCATTCATTTCTGGATACTGTATTCCATTCCACTGGTGTACATCTGGTTTTGAACCTTATTATAATGGATGTGCTGCCATATCTCTGTCTTAGTTTTTGAGATCGTGTATTAAAATACTGTCAGAGTTTCTCTTCTTACTCAGATTGCTTTGGGTATTTAAGGTCTTCATGAACTATAATCTTTCCTATGAAGAATTTTGGTGGTGAACAGTCAGAACCTATACATTGCTTCTGATAATGTAATGTAATCACTTTCATACTACTGATTCTTTTGATCCGCAAGCATGGGAGACACTTTGTCTAGGCTAGGCTATTCTTTTTTATTCCTTTCTGTTTCTTGTTCTTGTTTTGTTTGTTTAGTGTGTGTGTGTGTGTGTGTGTGTGTGTGTGTGTGTGTGTGTGTGTGTGTGTTTCCCAGAAGGTTCCATTTAATCCTGCCAGAAATTTCCAAGGGAGCTTGGGAGTGGGCATAGAATGAGTCTCCCTTCTCAGAGTGGCAATGTAGGAAATGACACAGCTGGAGAGCCACCACAGAGCCAGTTATCTCACGCTCTAAGCAGCCTCATCTGGAAAGAAATCTCTTGCAGTGTGCTGCACAAATAGTTTCTCTGATGGCCACAAAAAGAAAAAGAAAATTACTGAGAAGCATTAGTCTAAAGAGAACTGAGAAAGAAAATCACCAAGTTATAGGACAATAGACTTTTTAAAAGCCTTTTTAAATCACAAATTACTTTAAAAATTCATTTTGAAATTTTAGCTGAGGATGTCCTGGAATCATTTAGAAACGTTCATGCTGACCTGTTGCATAAAAAGTGTTTAAACTTTTGTATTATGTTTTTTAATTATCGTAGGATTACAACCACTTTCCCCTTTCCTTTTCCTCTCTCTAGCCCCTCCCAGGTACCCTACCTCTAATCTGTTCCATATCCCCGCATTCTCGCATAGATATCCCCTTCTTTATTATCCTTGTGTGTGTGTGTGTGTGTGTGTGTGTGTGTGTGTGTGTGTGTGTGTGTGTGTGTGTGAACAGTTGCATCTGAAGAACAGTTTCAGCAGTTGCCACTTTTGCTGAAGGGATGACAAAGGATGTCATCTCAAAGCAAACCCTTTTCCTTTTGCCAAAAAATAGAAAGCTTTGGAGCTAGAAATGTGGCCGTACCCCCACATGTACACTATTCATCAGGTGCTTTTTTTTTGTTCTTTTGTGTTAGACAAATAATAAATACTATCAGTAATCCTTTTGCTTAGCTGATCTTTATTGTATGAGGTAGGTTGGCATTTGGTATGATAGACATACCAATAAATTCTCAAAATATGTATTTGACAAAATTTTTATACTGGCAATTCCTGTGTAAAAAATCCATTACTCCCTATGAATGTTTGGCAAACAGTCTGCTACCAATAAAACATAGCTACTGTCTTCAAGACACCCTTGTGTAATAAAATAAATATATTTTCAATGAAACTACCATATAGCTTTCTTTTAAGAGTTTTTGTCATTTTAATTTTTATAAATTCAGGTGGTGTGATAATTTGATATATATATAGACATTAATTAAACGATCTAATCAACATAGCCAGCATTTTTATGTCTTTCAATAATGACTTTAATTACTGACTAACAAATATAAATTTATGAGAAACAATGTAATATTTTAATGCATTTTTGAATTATATAATGCTTGAATCAGGTGATGGAACATTTTCAGCCCCTTGTCATTACCTTGCATTTGGAGTATTTGATAGCTCATGAGCTGATGCATGAATTGGTGGGTGAATGGAAGGATGAATAAACTGACTGATAAATAACAGAGAATTCAGGAACTAGGTAGATTTTTGGTAGCATAATCACAGTGTTTAGGAGACAGTTAACCTATACTTAACCAGAACAGAATCTTTGTAATAGCACATTTAGGTAAAGGAATAGTAAGAATTTTGCTGGATGATTACATAGCTTTTACAAATATTTAATTGTACTACCCCTTAAAAATGTTTTTTGACACTGGCCCAAAGGATTATTTTTGTTTATTTTTGTAGGTGGGGGTCTCACTATATAGTTGTTGACGGCATGAAACTTAATCATGGTGGCACTGAACTCACAGAAATTCACCTGCCCTTACCTCCCAAGTGTGGAGATTAGAGGCCTTCTCTGCCCATGATGGGCTTTGATTTTATTAAATCTTAATAAGCAAAGATCAGCTCTGCCTTTGACCATGTCTTTATTGGGTTCTCAAAAGTTTATCCTAAGCTTCTCCCTCTCAGGCTAGAATACAACCTGCTGTGGATACAGCAATCAGAATCATATTGTTTTATAACTACATCTTACAATGATCCTCTGCATAGTTTTGAAATTTAGCACACACCAGATGTTTATACAGAGAACATGAAAGGTGTATTTCCTGTGGGTCCAAAATTTAGTTGGAAGCAGGAAACCTACAAATTGTGATCTAGAATCAAATAGGATCTATGTAATGGATGTGTATCATTCTCACATTAAGCATGTTTTTGCAGTAGTATTTCTGCCCATCTGAAAAATTGATGGCTGTTAAGTCAAGAAACACTTTAGTAACAGGACCTTACTTTTCTAAATAAATTATTTTTTCTAAATTAAATGTGTCAGTGATAACACACAAAAAATCATGATTCATAGTATAAACTCACTATTTCTTGGCAAGTAACATTACCATATATCTTATGCAGCTGTACTGAGGCATCCCAATGGCTTTTTAAAGATATATGCAGATCAGCACTGATTCATTTGCTATGCACATGTTTCTTTTGTTTCTAATGATAGCTTTTAAATGACTCTAAATTTAGTGTGAGGGAACCATTTATTTCATTGAACTTAAGGTGTTCATCTTCTATTGGGAAGACCTGTGCTGATGCCCAGATCAGACCTATGCTGATTCTTGATATCAGATCAACTTTGAAATGCTAAGTTCCTAACAAAGGCTGGGCCACCACCCTAAGAAGTCCTAAGTCTATCTGGGAGTACTTAGAGTAACTTGCACCACTGCAGGTGAGAACAGAGTAATAGTGAATGAGGCCATCTGTACAGGTACTGAATTCTCAAGAAGCTGACACTGATTATAGCTAGTCTGTTGTCACTGAGGTGTCTTCCCTGACATTTGAATTATCTACAATTTGTATATTGTTGACTTAAAATGGAAAAAGCAAGAGGCCAATAGAAAAACGCAGGTGAGAAACCAAAATCTCTAGTTAGACTAAAGAGTAGAAGAGCTAAATAAAAAAGAGATAGACTTAAGAAAAAACCTGTGTTGTGGACCTCAGACAGACAGAGCTAAATACTGAGCTAAAGCAAATGGAATCTACAGATAAACCATAGGCTACCACATTTATCCAGTGCTTGTATGAATAGATTAACATCGAACAGCAAAAAGCCTTTGCCAGAAGTCTTCCATGATCATAATTAAGAGGCATGTAATTACATTGAACAGGGATTAAAGGTGTGAATCCCCACTGCCTGATCTCTATAGGTTGAGGCTGACTATGTTTGATTTCTGAATCCTTAGTCAAGCTTTAAAAAAAAAAAAAAAAGAAAACCTAACAAAAATTTGTTACCTTTAGTACATCCAAGACTTCTATAGAAACAACAGACCAGACAGCTGCCGATTTGTTAAACACTTATTCAGATGACGACTACATTAAAAAAATCCAGAAACGTCTAGAAGAAGATGCTATTGCACGTGAGCAAAGGGAAAAAAGACGGCGGAGGCTGTTGATGGACCAGTTAATAGCCCATGAAGCACAGGAGGTGAGATAGCTGATGTTAGCTCTACTATAAAAGTTCTGAGCACCTCAGAATACACAGTCTTCTGTTTATACAAATAAGTATTTTACATACATTTGTCTGTCACTCTGAGTCAGATGTCTTAGGTATGTCCTCTCAGCAGAAGAGCAAAACCCTTACTTAAAATTTTCCAAGTACTCTCCTTCCTCATTAGTGACTATAGACCTTTGGGTACTTAGTTATTCATAAGTAGGACAGTGGCCCATTCCTCTATGATAGCCAAAGGAAAGCTGGTTAATGATGACTCAAGAAAACTACTAATTTTGCCACATGGGAGAAGTAGGTATTAGCATTCTGGCCTGTCCTTGGGGTTCTGACAGGATATGCCCTCAGCTGTAGCCATTAAGAGCACCACCTGTGCACATCCAGTATGTTCCCTTTTGAAAGGACCCTACCCACCTCCTATTCTTCTCTCTCCCTCTTTCTGTCGGTCTGCTTCTCTCTCCCTCCCTCCCTCCCTCTCCCTCATCTGCCCTTTCCCTCTGCCCCTCTTTCTCCTGCTGCTCCTGTCCTTGGAGACCAGTCTCACCCCTCCCCTTTCCCCTTTCTATGATCCCTTTCCCTAATTAAAAAAAACCCTCTGTCAAATGGCGTCTTTCTTTTGTATGCTGTTTTTCTTAATTTACAGCAGTGGGAAAGCCTGTAATCAAACTGAGGCTATTCTAGATTGCATGTTCTTTGAAATCTTCCCCAAATATGTAAATACAATTAAGATAGAAGTGAGTCCAATTGTTTTCATTTATCCACTCCAAATACAGGATAATGCATCTATGTTCTTGGGTTGTTGCCTTCCCTACCAGCAACCGTCACATATCTTAGTTGATATGAGAAACTATCTTACATTTCACTGAAATAGTAAACAATCCATTTCTGAAATGTGAACTGCTTCTATACAGAACAACAGCAACAAAATCTTTCCCACTTAGCTTTTATATGAAGGTCCTTATAGGTATTCAAACTGAAACTTAACACAGTCAGCCACTCAGCATTGATGCAGCCATCCCACAATGTGCTCTCTCTCTCTCTCCTTCCCAGTTTAATCTCAGTAAAGTAATAATCAAAACTTGACTCATCAAACCAGATTGTTTCTTATAAGGGATGGCTAACCAGAATACATTTTGACAGCCAAAGTGCCTTACTATGTAAACACAGCCTAATCTTACAGAACTCATTTAGACTAACAAAGCAATTTCACATTAAAAAATATGTCTGAAACTGTGGCTTGTCTAATCCAAACTAGACCACAATTCAGTGGGTACCCGGGGTTGGGCTCAGCTAAACTTTGCTGCTTCTTTTGGCTGGGCTGTTAAGGCCTTGTTTGATGGCAGACTGGTACTGCCTGACCTCAAAACCTGACGGGATCCTGACTAGAAGACAAGTACAGTCTCTTAAAATCTTCCATTTTCTAAGACATCAGGTCATGTACACAATGACTGTTACAATAAATTTAGAAGCCAAACCTCAAGGGCCTTTTGATGTCTTTATGGTTGTTTCTGTTTTGCTGTTTTATGGCTGTTTCTGGCTGATGTCTTGGTTATCAGTTCAAGTTAGTAGTCACACCATATTTAAGGAGTAGAACAATGGATTCTTTTTTTTTCATTTTTTTGAACAATGGATTCTTACCATTCATTGTTCATATAAAGTCACAACAAAGAGATATGAATAACTGAAGGGAAGAAAGTGTGGCCATTTTTGCATTCTGCTCTTTTTTAGTAGTGGATAATAAGGGAATAAAAATTATTACCAATGACATATTTTTAGAACACCTATTGTGAAGTTGTTCATGACTTTATCTAAGACATCATATGAACAGAAGAAATGTCTTATTCATTTTCGGTTGAACTTTGGCTTAAAATTTTAAAATAAGCCAAAAGTTCAGGTTTCAGCATTTACTTTAGAGTGTTATTTGCATTTTTCTTCTGAAAAAATGTAGAGTATTCCTCCTATAGTGCCAAACTGCAAAGTGAGACAGTGTCATTATTGACCCAGGAGTGTCCCTACAAATCATTGAGTTGTTGGGCGTTAAATTAGAAACACTGATATTCTTTCAAGTCTCCACTGAAAACTACAATTCCCCCCTTTCCCATATGATACCTCTATTTAGACAAAGAAATTCTGGTGGCCTCCCATCCAAGTACTCACCAGGCCCGACCCTGCTTAGCTTCCGAGATCAGACGAGATCGGGCGCGTTCAGGGTGGAGGAAGGGAGTTGGTCATGGGGGAACAGGAAGTTGAGGGGGTGGGGGTAGAATAGGGGGAAGAGGGAATCATAGGATCGAAGACAGATCAGGCACCAGAGTGACCTCGAGTGATCTAAAGGTATAACATCAATTGGCAAGCTAAGCAATAGTGGAAGGACCACCTCGAATGCCCATTCCTGATAATGAACTTGATGTCTATAACTATCCGGGAGCCTTCATCCTGGGACTGATGGAAGCAGAGGCAAACACACATCTAAGCACTGAACTGAACCCAAGGAAACCAGTGACAGAGAGAGAGGAATGATGAGCAAATTGGCAAAGAATGGGCTGGCAAAACCAGCAGAGACAGCTGATCTGAACAGGGAGTGCTCTTGGACCCCAGACCGACAGTGGGGAGGCCAGAATGGGACTGATCTGGACCCCCCAAATGTGATTGTCAGTGAGAAGGCCTGGACAACCTATGGGGCTCTGAGCTGTGGATCAGTGTCTATTCCTGGTATACAATCTGTCTTCATGTGCCTATAGCACAAAGAGAGATGCTCTCTCAGCCTGGACTCTTAGGGGAATGCCTTGACCCTACCAAGAGTAAAATGATAGACTCTAGACATCCCCTATGTGGAAGTATGTGGCAATAGGGTGGGAGGGAGGGTGGAAGGGGAGTGCGGGAGGAGGGGAGGGAGAGGGAACTGGGATTGACATGTAAAACAAGCTATTTAAAATTAAAAAAAAAACTAAAAAAAAAATAATAAATAAATAAATGAAAAAAAAAAAAGAAAAGAAATTCTGGTGGCTTAGGGAATTTTTTTTGCCTAAGCCGTTCATTACCATCTAATCAGAAAGAGGGCCTTGCAAAGCTGAACTACTTGTACAAGCACACAGTACAAATGAGGATGCAACCGTCATCCTTTTTCCCAGTTACTTCTTTTTCCACTACATATTCACTTCCCTCCATTCTCCTGAAAACAGTCAAGAGAACAGCCACTTTCTGCTTCACACTGGCAGCTGAGATTGCCTGAAATGAGTGATAGTTCATTTCCACCTCTCCAGGCTTCATCTTTCACTGAGTTTTAGCTTATCATGCACAGACTTTTGACTTGTCTCCCAGGAAAGACAGCAGTTCTATATTTACCCAAGTCACCTTTACAGAGTCCTTATAGTAAAGTGAGTATACCTGATTTCCAAACTTCTGAAAATGTAACTATAAATTAAGAATTGCTTCAATTGTTCAGAAAACTTTGAAAACTCACATGATTTGTTTTTTTCCTGGATTTTAAAGAACCAACAACACATTTGAAGCAGTTGAGAGTTTCAATACTAATGTTTGTAGAAAGATTTTTACTAAACCTCAATAATTAGTCTATTGCAATTCTTCGTAGTGTGTGTGTGCACACGTGCGTGTGAGTTGTGTACATGCTTGTGGGGGGTGTGCACGTGCATGTGAGTGTGTGAGCATGCATGTGTGTGTGTGTGCGTGCGTGTGTGTGTGAGTGTGTGTGTTTGTGATGTTAAATTTAAACTAAAGGGCAGAAGCTGACTTAGATGACTGCCATGCCTTTCACACATCATTTACACGAGTGCAGTGGATGACCTAGACAGGGCTTTGAGAAGTCATTGCCTCTGGTGCTGGTGTTTGCAGGAGGCCTATCGGGAAGAGCAGCTGATTCACCGGCTGATGCGTCAGTCGCAACAGGAGCGCAGGATTGCCGTGCAGCTCATGCATGTTCGACACGAAAAGGAAGTTTTGTGGCAAAATAGAATTTTCAGAGAGAAGCAATACGAAGAAAGACGACTTAAGGATTTTCAGGATGCTCTTGATCGAGAAGCGGTAAATAAAATCTCCATTAAAAATCGTATTTTGCCGTCAGCTTAAAACTGACAGAGGAGGAGACAGCCCCTACACAATGCACCCTCCACCATCTGGCTTGATCCTAAGCAATGCGTGCTTGCCACCAGTCACGGGTTCACCCATCTCCAGTCACTGTGCTTGCTTTTGAAGGAGTTCTAATTGCATTAGCTCCTCAGGAAGCATTCACAAGGACTGCATTAACATTCTCTGATTTCCTGCACATTGGTGGTAGCATGTGCCTCTGTACCTGCTAGTCAGTGTGAAACTCTTGTTTCATCTTTATTATCCCTGAGTATCTAAAATACATCTCTCCACTTTCTTCAGATACAATGTTATTGACAGACCAATGCTGATTATCTAGTTTCAGGTCCTTGAAGCATTATGTTTTTACCTCGGACACCCAAGAGACTTCCCCATTTCTGAAGTTTGAGAAAGTTAGTAGTGTGGGCACTGGTATTGGCAATTTTAGGCAATTATTCTGAGACAGAGAGTTTTAAGAGGCTTTCTTTCAGTAAATTAGTTTTAAATAAACAATTCATCGCTTTTTTATAGGCCTGTGTTTCTCAAGCCTATATCGTACTGCTCCTTCCTCTAGACTATAATAATCTGTGGGGAGGTAGGGAGTACTCTAATTTATTGTCAGTGAGAACAGTGCCCAGAAGCCAAGATCTGTCTTCTGGGTATGTCCTTTGCACTAGGATGTTATTTTTGAAACTTGAAAATGAAAATATCCAATCTATTACTCATTTACTGCATCTTACTTCTCCTGTATTTTATGTGGATGGTTTCTTAAAAGAAAAATAGACTTTTTTCCATGTATTACATTGACTTTTGTCTATTTCCCATTGGGGAACTCAAGTTTATTTCATCAATTTGTCAGACTTGATAGCAGAGACACAGAGTTCCTGCGCCCTGTGTTTCAGGCAGCTTGCATTGCTGTCATTAAGCATTCTCACTTGTGTCTGGACAGGACAGCAGGACTTTCAGTAAACAAGGACCTGGTATTCAACTCAGCACCTTACTGCTTCCTTCTGTGATACTCCACGATAAAGCACATTTCATCTAAGCTAGTAGCTCTTGATTTTATATTGTGGTGCCACTTACTGTTATGAATGATAATTAATTACAATATTATGATCATTCGCTTCAAATCACAGTTATGCATATATAAGTCTTGCAAAATTACACATGAATACTATCTGTATCTACGTTTGACACACAAAGAAAGATAAGCCAAAAGCTTGTCGGGAGTAGAGCCTTCCTGTAGGTCTCCATAGCTCAAGCTCATCACTATTAAGAATTAGGACATCCACAGATTTCTTTTGTATTTCCTCTTTCTTCTTTAGAGCTGCTGTATACATTTGTGTGATGAGATAGGAAAGTATGGCGAGTCTAGCACAAAGTGGAGGGCAGAGGTAAAATATACTAGGGAGACCAAACAGGTGAATGGAAACGAGGCCAGACAATGAGGAAGCCAAGATGAGACAGGAATGGAAGGAGGGAGGGAGGGAGGGAGGGAGGGAAGGAAAGAAGAGAGGAGGAGGGAGGGGGAGGGAGGGAGGAGAGGAAGGGAGAGAGAGGGAGGGAGGGAGGGAAGGAAAGGAGAGAGGAGGAGGGGGAGGGAGGGAGGGAGGAAGAGGAGGAGGTAAGGAGCCACCACCAGCAGCAGCCCAGGATGGAAGCTGTTCTGTTGTTCATGAGAAAAATCCTATAATTTCCTTCCAATGTTTTGGTCCCTATGGAGAACCAGCTTCCCCATCTATTTTAGTGTCACTGTCACTGTCACTGTAAATTCTCATCAACATGAATTTTCTTTCTCACACGAGCTCTTCCTGATATCAAGGAACACGACATAAAACTCCTTGTCTCACTTGTACTTACACTACATGGACACAGGGCCTCAGAAACAAGGCAGCAATGAAAAGTTCTAGTGTCATTCCTGACTCAACCAAATACACTGGACTGATCTTAGAGAAAATCCATCCCAGTGAAATTAAAAATAAACATGCTAAATAAGACAGCAACAGTAATACAAATGATGAACTTTCCAAAGCAATCAATTATCATAAATATTTGTGTGTGTGTGAGAGAGAGAGAGACAGGGTTTCTCTGTGTAGCTTTGGCTGTCCCAGAAATCAGTGTGTAGACCAGGCAGGTCTTGAACTTACAGATCTGCCTATCTCTGCCTCCCAAGTACTGGGACTAAAGGTGTGTGCCACCACTGCCCACACTGATTATCATAAATCTTACCATTTATCAGCAGTATTGTGTTTTAAAACTACTTGTTCAGATGAAATGGCTCAGCTAATTTTGGAGGGGGTATATTAAAATTATTAATATCCCTCCTTTGAGGAAACAGATACTTGGTGGAGGGAGTGGTAAATGATTTGTTCAAGTTCTCAAATACCTTGAACTTGAATTCTGTGTACAAACTGGGGCTTGAATTTGTAGGCAGTTCCTCTGAAGCCTACATTTATTTTTATTGTCTACTGGCTGAATTAAGTCAAAGGTGAGAGATTTCATTAGTGAGTCAGTTTAACACAAAAGTTGATATCTGAAGCATCTGGTAAAGTCTTCTCCAAGGCGGCACTTGATCATCTGGATCCCTCCAACTAAGCATTGTGTTGCTTTCTGCTTGTCCAACCACATCTTATGTAAAGAGCGATCTAAACAAAACGATTGTCGCCATATGAACCAAGAAAAAGGTGGTGATGAAGTGCTTAAATATCTAACTGCTTTTTGTAGACATAGATGTTTCTACAAATGAACATTATATATTTATAAAAACTAAGGCAGCTAGAACTTAAACACACTTAAAATGTGTCTATCAAGTGGGTTATCTCAAAGCACTAAAATCTAATTACCACATATTTAGCCAATCGGTAAGTTAATACTGAAAAGGGAAGTACAGTGGTCAAAGCAGAGTGTGCTCCTGGTGAAGTGGACCCTGGTCACAGATGTGTTAGGGCCAGCTGACCCAGCCTAACCATTTCTCTGTGACATTTGACTCTTAGTAAATGATGTAATTGAGACACCTTCAGGAAAGCCTAAAATCCAATTTATTCTTGTGACACTGACCTTTTCCTATCCATACCACTGTCCACTGTAGTCTGTTTTGTTGATGAGCTAACCATGGAGCCTAAAACACTATTCTTGCTGTTACCAATACTTAGTGTATTAAGGAATGAAAACTGATCATTGATCAGTTAAACCCTGATATAAAAGGAGTTTCATTCTATTTAAAGGGTTTTCTTTGTATTATGACATTATCTTCATAAGAATACTTGCATAATAATAATGACTTAGTTCATTTTTGCTCTCTTAGGCTCTTGCCAAACAAGCCAAGATTGATTTTGCAGAACAAACTTTGAGGGAAAAGGAAACTCATGAAAAGATCGCCGTTGAAAGAGCTCAAGCACGCTTTGAGAAGCATTATGGGATATGTGCAGAAGTTTTGGATCAAATACTTGATTTATGCACTAAAGTGGCAGACTATCGGTTGCTGACAAATAAGTAAGTATCACTTTGCAAAATTAGCACAACAGAGTCACTACAGATTCAAGCAGGCTAAGGCTGCAAAGTAGATGCGACCAATAGGTAAAGATTATTCATGAATGAAGAATGAGAGGCAGAAGCTAGGGAAACAATTACTTTCTGGTATTACTCAGAGTAAGGCAAGTCTTTATCCATAAGTTGTGTCTAAATTATTTGCCAAGACTACAGTTATCATTTATGAAACACTTAAAACGTATCTCCTAATCTCCTAATAATTAAATTATTTCTGTAATGCCTTTTGTCTAGAAGGAGTCAACATATTTACAGTGAAGGAGTCAAGATATTAAAAAATGAAAAGCCAGTATTATAATTCAAAGTTGAAAATTTAAATAATGTAAATCTACAGTAGGAAGTTACAAATAAGAAACACATTGAAGCGTAGCTAGGCAGCAGAAGAGTCTTTATTGTCCCTTACCATCCTAGTTCTAAAGAAAAAGAAAGGCAAAATCTGCTGTGTGGTTTCCACTTCCATTCTGGGCCTCTTCAATAGCAAACTTGCCATGAGATTCAGAGTTTTTCGTGTTACCTTGACAAAAGAATATCCTTTAGTACTGAATCTGGTATAGACAGTCCTCAGTGAAGACTTTCAGGCAAATGTAATATCTAGAACTGCAGGCCTATTGTTAAAGAGGCCTTGCTAGAAGCTGGAGCAGAACAAAACTTGAAGTGATTCCACAGCACAAGGGTCATGTAGTCCAGTAGCTGGCATACAGCTGGAGTTCTCAGGTCGAGATCTTCTTGTGACCTCATAATGAAAGGTACAAGAGGCCATGACTCATGGAATCAGCAGAGAGGAGATGGAAAGTCTCCCATCTCTCCTATGTGTAAAAAGGGTTTTATCTCTTTGTCTTCTTCCTAAACCCATTTATCATGTAGTGATGTCATTTTGAAATCACAGTTATACTAGAGTTTAATAAGCAGAAAATAAATTATACTTGAAAATGAAGGAATTGAATAGTAAAGTTTTAACATATTTTTATGTTATATATTATGTATAGTTATACATATATAGCATACATTATCTATAACATATAATTCTAACATGTTGTATTATAAGTTAATAAAAATTCAAACGCGCCAGGCGTTGGTGGTGCACGCCTTTAATCCCAGCACTCTGGAGGCAGACACAGGCAGATCTCTGTGAGTTCGAGACCAGCTTGATCTACCAGGACAGGTTCCAAAACAATACAGAGAAATCCTGTCTCAAGAAAACAAAAACAAAAACAAAAAAATTCAAATGCTCTGTAACTTTAAGAACAAAGATATGCAGAAGTGATGAATGAAATAAATAGGAAAAGAGTGACACAAATTACAATAACTAAAAATAGATTATATTATAAGAAATAAAATACTTTTGTTAAAAAATGAAATAGGTAAAGGGTAAAGATATATAATTAGACACAGATATCACTAAACAAAAAAGTTCCATCATTTTAAGTCACAAAAGCAAATTCAGTTCTATTGGGGGCTAAGCAGAATAAATACACCTATCCCTATTCCTCCCACTAAATACATTTAAACACTCAGTTATAAATCACACATAAAGAGAAAAATGTGGGAAAAAAATGAGATGGTTGATGACTCAGGTCTAACAAATTGTGAAGTAATGAATTCCATGTATGTTAATTTTGCTTCAACTATCCTATATGAAACCTTTATTTATTTGCTTCAGACACATTAGTGGTAAAGGCTTTCCAGTAAAGAAATAAGCTATCAAAATGAAAAATTTTAAGTAATAACAAGTGTTTTCTACCCAAATTCATGGGCAAAATTGTAATCTCACTCTACTCTTGCCAATAAGGATAGGAATCCTCATGGACCCTTGCAATATAAAAAGGGACACCAACTGTTTATTAAGATGGTGGCAGGAAGATCAAGCAAGAGGCATGGATTTCTATTTCCACTTGAACATGGCAGAAAACCCTGCAGTCTCAATGACATGTGTTAGTGAGGGCCTCATAGAAATATTCCACAGAGATACAAAAGTCCCTACAGTAGAAATCATGGAGACTCTGTAAAAAAAAAATTCCCACCTACTCCTAAGAGTTGCAGTGGTCTCCTTTTCCTATATGTCAGGAGAGGCACTTAAGGATTTTTATCCACACTTGGCAATAATAAGACAATATTTCCATTTTCCTTTGCCAGAGCACTGTCAAAAAAGCAACCAAAATTGAGGTTCAAAGTGTTATAAACTATGACACAAAAAATTTATGCTCCCCAAAATGTCAAAAGCCAGAAAGAGCTCAGACTGAAAGCAAGAAGAGAATATATAATGCTGCTATATACTTAACTGCGCTTTTCATAAAATTTTAAATGTGTCCTTATTTGGAATCAGGAACATTACAGATATGATTGGTTTTGATGAGATATTGGTTAATTCATAACTGGTGTCATTGTAAGAAAGAACCCCGTTATGATAAACCCAAAGAATTATTGACCTGTAAGCCACGAAATGCCAAATATTGCCAGCATATCATCAAAAAAAAATAAAAGGCAGCAAAAAACTCACCATGGGGTTCAGAGGATACCTGACCTTGCTGACATATAAATTTTAAAATTCCAGCTTTCAGCACTGTGTGAGACAACCAATTACTATTCTTTTCTCTCACCCAGTTTGTGGTAGGTTGTTATAACAACCCTAGGAAATGAGTGCATATGTCAACACTTAGATGACAGAGGTCTTACTTTTATCTAATTAAGAATTTTAAGCAGCCATGGCAAAATGCTTCAGTGAGCAATTATGAGCTTCTTGAAACAAATGCAAAAAAATGTAGTCACAGAACAGAGATGCCATAAAAATTAGTATTAAATGGAAATTTTATAATGGAAAAGTACAGTACCCAAAATAAGTGCTCAGTGGTTGGGCACATAAGTAGAATAAAATGGACAGAAAAAAGACTCAGTGACCAGAAGACAGAGTAAAATAAGCTGTCCAATGTGAATAGTAAAGACAGTAGGTTGAAAAATTAAACAGAGTCTCAGCCAAGGACTGGTTACCAGTGTCATGTTTGTCTTCTGTCACTGCTAAAAATACTGAGACAAGACATCTTATAAAGATGAAATCTTTGTTTTGATCCATGTCTTCAGAAGCCATAGGTCATGACTGTTTAATATTGCTTCTTTGATCCCCTAGAAGGTAGGAAATCATGATGGAAGTATGTGGTAGGGAAGCTTATTAGGGAATGGCAGCAAGGAACTGTAACAGAGAAGCTAGAGCCTCAATATTCCCTTTTAAGTCACACTCTCATAACCTAACTTCCCATTAGGACACTACCGCCTAAAAGTTCCATTCCCTGCTAAAAGTACCAGTTTGATGACCAAGCTCTTAACACCTAAACTATGGAGATAACTCAAGATACAAAGTATTACACATGTTACTTCAGTTCTGCAAGTAGAAAATAAATGGGGTTAGAGAGTGCTCAAAAAACAATATCTGGAAATTTCTTGAACTTGCCAAGAGACATCAATCTATAGATTCAAAAAATCAAGCAAACTCCAAATAAGATAAATCCAAGTAAGTTCATGTAGATAACTATCAAAATTAAGTTTCTGAAAACTAGGAAAAGAAGGTGCTATGAATGCCCCAAGGAAACAGATTTAGAGAAAAGTGTTTCAAGTGACAGATAATTTCTTCCCAGAAAACAGAAGTGCACAGTAGTTTTCAAATGCCAGAGCAAAGAACCCTCAACCCAGAGTCTTACTCCCTGGGGCCTGGAAAGATGACTTAAAATGTAAATACATTTGCTGCTTTTTCAGAGGACCCAGGTCTAAGCCCCAGTATCTATGGAGTGGGTCACACTATGTATTACTCCAGTTCCAAGGAATTTGATGTCTTTTACTGACCTATGCAGGAACCAGCCATACATGTGGTGCACAAACATACATTCAGGCAAAGCACTCAAACAAATAAAATAAAAAAATGCATTTTAGAAAGTTTTAAAGAAACCTATCATGAATGAAGGGTAAATTTGACTTTTTTGGGTGATGGTTGCTAATAACATTTGCTGCTGGCATACCTACCCTTCAGTGGGTGGCTAAAAGTTGTTTTCTTACCAGGAAGGAAGTTCTTGCATAAAAGACAGCTTGGAATAGGCAAAGCAGAGAAAGAGCATAGTAAGCAATAGGATGAGTGAGAAGAGGTTCCCTTCTCCTCTCGAGAAGGCAGATCAAGTGGAGTGGAAATATGACACTGTGAAATACACTTCTCAATGTGCTCGGAGGAAACCTTTCACTACAATCTGATGAATTTAAAGAAACATAAAAGAGACTGTATTTCTTTGTTTTCTTTTAGCGATAAAATAATGCTAGTTGATGTACAAATTATACATGCACAATATAATGTCTGTTGCACATGCTAAGTAACCCATGTTACAGACAGATTAAAATAGATTTGAGGAAATAACCATAGTAAGTAGGGAAAAGAAACAGAAAGACTTAAAACCCCATGAAGTACAAATTAATAGACTTCGCCTTCATATGATTTCATCTATAAATATAGTAATTAAATGACAATGATTGGGAGATCAAAAAACATAACCAAATTACGACATCTATAAGAAATTAATTTCAAATAAAATAACAGACTCTGGGTAAAAAAATATAAGATGTACATAATAATAGAAAGAAAACATGGGATTTTATATTAATATCAGAAAAAATAGGATTGGAACAAAGGAAATCACCAGTACATAGAGGAACATTGCATGTTGTAAAGGGGTCAATGCAACAAAAAGTCACAGCATCTTTGTCATATTTCCTCTAATATTCGAACTTCAAAGTAGGAAGAAAATCTGATCAGAAACAGACATAAAGACCTTCAGTGATAGATGGGCACGTCAACAACTATTCTTGGTTGTTAACTTGAATCAACTAAAACCCACATAGCTGTATACATCTGTGAGGGATTTTTTTCTTAATTAAATCATTTGAAGTGGGAAGATCCACTTTTAATCCAGTTC